CTCTCCCTGGCCTCCGCTCTGTGCTGCAGCCTGGCATGCTGGGCTGGGAGCTGGAAGGTAGCTGGTCGGCCAAGCCCAAGGGCAGGGCCTAATCTCACTGGCATCCCCACCCACCTTCCCTGGGCCCACCGCCTGGCCAGAGTGGGAAGTGGGCTCAGAGCAAGTCGGGCCCTCTGGAGATGGTCTCCCTGGATGTTAGACGGCACCCCCGGCTCTGCCTGACCCGGGAACACAGAGGGAAAGGCACAGGCACCCTTCTGGGGGCTCCAGGGGAGAGTCCATGTCTTTGCCTCCACCGGCTTCAGAGGCGGCTGCACTCCTGGGCTGTGGCTTCCTCCACCCCGAAAGCAAGCAGAGCAGGTCAAGTCCTGTTCATGTCACGTCACTGAGACTTCCTCTCCTGCCTACCTCTCCCACTTACAAGGACCCTTGATGACTCAGGGCGCTGGAATAATGCAGGACCCGATCGCCAGGCCCTAGCAGAGAGGCCTTCAGCCCATCTGCCATCTTAATTCCCCTTGCTATGGAATTGGGATATTTTATTTTAGCTAACGATTCACAGGCTGTAGGCATGAGGACAGGACACCCCGGGGTGGGGTTTTACTCATGATTCTGTCTGCCACAGCAGGCTTCCTGGGCATCTTCTTGTTCTTGATTTCCAATCTGATTCCATATTGTCAGGTTACATCTTCTGCATGAATTCAGTCCTTTAGATTATTAAGGCTTGATAGGTGGCCCTGCCTGTGAGAACACCCCACATATTTGATTTTTTATTCTCCTTAGAGTTAACATTGTACCATTATGTAAAATACAAAAAAAAAAAGAAAAAAGTTATAACTGTATAGGGTCCAACTGCTGCCCAGTCCTTTATATTATGTCCACATACCTGGTAAACCCCAGAAGACAATATTGGAATTTTTAGATTCAAACAGTATTATGTACTTCAAAGAGATTAAGATTTTAAAGTTCTTTTACATTAACACATACTTCCCAGTTTTGATACTCTTCATTGCTTCCCTAAAATCTAAATTTCCAACTGGTCTTATTTTCTTCAAAGAACTTGTTTTAGTATTTCTTATAAATAGCAACAGAGTTGCTAAGTGTCCTTTAATCGGAAAGTATTTTTATTTTTGGAGGATACTACCTCTCCCTGGTGATGGAATTCTAGGTTGACAGTTCTTTTCTTTTAGCACTTTAAAGACATTCTTCCACTGCCTTCTGGCCTCCATAGTTTCTGATGAGACGTCTGCAGTCATTCAAATAACACTGCTCTGAGTACAATGTGTATAGTTTTTCTCTGGTTGCTTGAAAGATTTCTCTCTCTGTCTTAATTTTCAGCAGTTTGATTAGGATGCTTAGGTATGATTTATTTCTATTTATCCTGTTTGGGGATCACTGAGTTTTTTTAAATTCAAATTTATGTGTTTTGTCAAATTTAGGAAATTTCTTGATCACTAGATCTTTTCATACTTGCTTGGCTACATTCTCTATTTCCTCTTTTCTTGGGACTCAAATTGCACAGATGTTAGACCATCTGATATTGTCCCACAGGTTCCCAAGGCTCTGTCCATTATTTTCAGAGTGTCATCTCTTTGTCATATTGGATCATCTATATTCATTCTTGACTCTTATTTCCATTCTGGTAGTAAGTTAATTCACTGAATTTTCAAAATCAAATATTGTCATTATTATTATTATTATTATTATTATTATTGGTTCTAGTATTTCCATGTAGTTCATGTTCTTATTATTTCAATTTCTTAGCTGAGATTTCTTTCCCCCTCTTTCACTGCCAGCATATTTTCCTTTACTTCCTAAAGTACAGTTTAATATTTAAACTCCTTGTCTTCTAATTCCAACACCTTGGAGTCATCTCAGGATTGTTCTCAGTTGAGTGATTTTTCTCGAGACTGGGTCACATTTTTCTGTTTCTTCCTGTCAAGCAGATTCAGATTGTATCCTAGAATGGATGCATTGGGTTATTACACTGTGGAGAGTCTGAAGTCTGTTACAATGCCCCAGAGAGAGTGTTGATTTTGTTGTTGTTGTTGTTGTTTTAGGAAGTAATTAACACAATTGGATTTAGTGTGAAAACTCTATGACTTTAGTATAAGCCAAATCACAATTCGGATATTTTATTTTAGCTGACTTGCTTAAAGTCTGTGAAAAAACATGTGTGGTTCAAAGGTCAGCCAGAGACATGAGTAGAGAATATTATTTTTCTTTCTGTCCAGAGTTTGTAGTTTTTATTTGCAAGAGGGTTAGGTCCAGCATGAGTTTACTTGGCTTGTATTCATATGCTTGTTTCTACCACACAGGTGTTCTGTTCTGTGTCACAAGGCTGGGAGGCCCCTGAGCATGTGACTTAGTGACAGAAACATCTTCAGAAGACACTGGGGAACAATGGCTAAGAACAGAGGTAGCTGTAGGAAAACCTGCCTATATTAGTCTGCACAGGTGGTCATGACAAAATACCACAGAGGTATTTTGGCTTACAATAGAAATTTATTTCCTCACAGTTCTGGAGGCTAGAAGTCCAATATCAAGGTATCAGCAGGTTTGGTTTTTTTCGAGGCCTCTCTCCTTGGTGTATAGAGGGTTGTCTTCTCCCTCTGTCTTCTCATGGTCTTCCCTCTGTGTGTCTGTCCTATTCTCCTCTTCTACAAGAACAATGATCAGATTGGGTTACAGCCCACCCCAATGACCTCATTTAACCTTAACTGCCTTTAACGATTCTATCTAATGATACAGTCACATTCTCAGGTACTGGAGGTTAGGACTTCAACATATGCAATTCAGGGGGAGAATTAATTAATTCCATAACTCTGCCCTTCAAAGGCTGAGAACTGTCTTCTATTAAAAGGTTGCAATTGCCCTGACCAGTGTGGCTCAGTTGGGCGTCGTCCTGTGCACTGAAAGGTGGCCAGTTTGATGCCTGGTCAGGGCACATGCCCAGCTTGTGGGCTCAGTCCCCAGTAGGGGACATGCGGGAAGCAGCAGATTGATGTTTCACTCTCATTTTGATGTTTCTCTCTCTCCCTCTCTCTTCCTCTCTCTAAAAATCAACAAACTGCCGAAACCGGTTTGGCTCAGTGGATAGAGCGTCAGTCTGCGGACTGAAAGGTCCCAGGTTCTATTCCCGTCAGGGGCATGTACGTTGGTTGCGGGCACATCCCCGGTAGGGGGTGTGCAAGAGGCAGCTGGTTGATGTTTCTCTCTCATCGACATTTCTAGCTCTCTATCTCTCTCCCTTCCTCTCTGTAAAAAATCAATAAAATATATATTTTTTTAAATCAACAAACTATTCTTAAAAAATAAAAAAGCTACAATGAGTTCAGTTGATCTGCCCAATGGCACCTGTTATCCCATATTCTGATGAGGACACTGAAGCTCAGGAAGATCAGTCATGGAGGGCATGGCTGGCACACCTGAAGGCACCTCCCATGCCAGGCCTTCTGACCAGGAGCCCACGTGAGTCCTGGGCTCTGGCTTTCTGAGCCCAGTAGGTTGTAGGAACCACCCACAGAGCTCAGCACCTCCCATCACAAAACCATAAGCACATGGGAGAGTTGCCACCATGGCTGCAGGGCTCTGTGGGCCTGTCTGTGGCTCAGCATTGACACCTGGGAGCCACAGCACCTGCCCCAGAGGCAGGCGGCTCCCTCTCAAGTCCCCCGACACCAGGGCCTGGACGTTTCTAAAAGCCCTGCCTTAGGCCTCACCAAGGGAAGCAGCTCCCTCCCCTTCTCCTCGTCGGCGGCCCCATGGCCACATGGTTCCTGTGAGCACATTTCCATGGTCTGTATCTGACGATCAAAGGGAGAAGCCATGTGGCTCCGTAAGCGTTGTGGATCAGGGTGAAGTGTCCCGTGTCCCCTCGGTGGGACGTGGCCGTGAGGCAGGCGTGCAGCCCCCCTAAGTGCTCGCTGTGCCATGCTGGACCAGGGTGGGGTCCCCGGAGAACGGCGGTCCCCGGAGAACAGCAGTGAGAGCATGCAGTGTGGGTCTCCAGGAGCATCAGCCCTCCCACATGCACCTCTCCTCAGCAGGAACTGCCCCAGGAATGAAACCTCAACAGAGATGTGTCCCCATGGAATGGGGCGGGCTCTCCAAGGTACAACTCAAGGGATGAAGCAACGCCTGGAACTAGCAGAAGTAGAATGTTCTGGAAAACTTGGCTTCAATGTCATTTTAAATTGCAGATGAAGGAGAAGAGCCTGGCAGGATAAGTAAGGCATGGACCAGCCTGGCACCACCAGACAGTCCAGGTGGAGAGGGTGTGTGGTGGGGGCAGGGGCAGACAGGCAGGACGTGTGTGTGATGTCACAGTTCTCTGCAGCCATGCTCTGGTTCAGTGACATCTCACAGGTCAGAGAACATCTGTGTCCGAGCACTGCTCCTCTCCCGGCTGTCTTTCTGCATCACACTCACCTGGTACATTCATGAAACCTGCCTCCATTACACTGGCTGGGGAACAGCTTGGCAACCATTAACCCCCTGATAAAGTTATGTAAAAAGCTAACACACTCAGAGGAAAATCACTCCGGATCCTGAATCTCACCAACGCTCCCCGCTGTGGGAGAAGCTGGGATACGTGGCTTCCCGGGGAGGGGCAGCTGGCTCTGTCCTCTGTCCATCCAGGGAGGTGCCACGGCCTGGTGGGCACAGCCCGGAAAGGAGAGAGGGACGCATAGGCATCCTGCCATCAGGTACCTGTAGCCCACATGTCACTCCGCCCGGGGTCACCGCGGGAAGGTGTGCAATTACAGGGACAAAAATGCCCCAAGGAAATCAACAGGGAACTTATTAATATCAGACCCATAGGTGACAAGTGTCAGACAATCGGTCAACAAGGGGCCCCGTGTCTGCGTGATCCCAGCTAACCCATTATGATCTTTATGAAGTGTCCTTCTGGGGGTCCGCCTCGCCGGGCGGGAGGGGGAGCCCCTTCCCTTTTATTAGCAGCTAAGCTCTTTATGCTCTGACCATATTGCGGCAGGTTAGGCGTCTGAGCTTTATTGTCTTATGTTATTGAAAATCCAGCTTCCGGCGGGCTTCTCCCTCAGGTCACGCTTTGTCTGCGAATACATTCTCATTCTTCCACGTACAGAGACCGTCTGGAGAGAGGCAGGAAAAGATTATGACTGTAATATACTTAAATCCAATTTATTTGCCTGGCCAGAAACTTGCACCCTCCGCAATTGCTTCCTACCCTGGATGTTGTCTTTAATTCTTTCCTGACCGTGAGAGGCGTCCGGCGGGTCCCGGCGTGGGGAGAGGGCGAGGGTGCCCAGCCCCCGGGGGGGCTCCAGGCACGCACTGGCTTCCAGTTGAGAACTTCTCATCTGCCATAGGGAAGGCGTCTGCAGGCACGTGGCGCTCGGCGGAGGAGACACGCGAAGGCGAGAGAGCAGGGAAGTGGCCACGAAGGAAGGGAAAGAAGTCCCGAGAAGGAAGGCGGGGCCGCAGCACGTGGAGGACACTGAACTTGAACTAGTGTCAGATTCCACTAGGGAGTCACTGTTCGTTGGGCTGGGTTAGCTATCACCTAACCACGTGCCCGAGCCAGACCTGCTGCCAGAACAGAACCTTCCAGCCCGGAGGGAAATGTGAGTCACGTGGCTGACGCTGGCTGATTAAAAGGGTGCAGGACCCCCTCGTGTGCCCTTGACGACAGAGCAGCCGCAGCCCCGGGGGCCACACACACACACACACACACACACACACACGGGGCTCGGTGTTTCTGGGGCCACCCCTGGGCCCAGCAACCTTACACGTTCCACTCGCTTAGAGCTGCCTCACGGCACCCCTGCTGCCACGCTAAACCCTTTACTCCAGAAACGTCGTTATTCGGCGGCCCCAGGAAAGTGCCCCTGGGCGGCCGACCTTGCCCAGTCACGCCCCACACGAGTGGAGATGAAGTCACGGCTCAGTCACATCCTGTCACGTCACGTCGGTGCAGCACGTGCGCATGGGCAGCGTGGGTGCAAACGCTGGCATCTCATTTGCCAGGAGCCTGCCCGGACCCCATAAGCACTGGCTTTCCCAGAGGCCGAGGCAGACTGACAAAGTTGTTGGGTACAAATGAGTCCTAGATTCGATTCTGCAGAGCACGTTTTCCTAGGAAATCCAATTGTGCCTGCTTTGTTTCTGGGCCATGTCCGTCACCGCTGGTGTTACGTGTGATGTGCTTAGGCTGCTGAGCAGGAGCGGGAGCACCTTCGTTGATGATGGGTGAGACTGAACCAGGGAGCTGGCGGGGGCCTCCCCCACCAGGACCTGCCCCGGAGGCACCAGCCCACCGCCCAGATGTGGGCAGGCAGGCAGTTCGTTTTAATTACGTGGACGCACCAGGACCATCCAGGGATGTGACAATGCTGCCGGAGTCTCAAGGTTACTGTGGGGAATACTTCACAACCCGAGTGTGTTTTCCCCAAGGAGTGACGCCATGTGATTTAATTTTTAATTTTTACATGTTAATCAAAAATAGATCAAATGGCGGTGGTCTCTCCGGGGAAGCACACTTCAGATAGGAGCCGGCCACACTCCCCTCCGTGTGGGAAGCTGCCATCTCCGCAGAAGTCACGACGGCGCTGCCCCAGGTGCCCGTTTCTGGAGCTGAAGGCCACGGGCACTCCAGCGGCTCCAGTGCACACCCCATGAGAGCCTAACTTACCCATCGCGCTTCTGCACAGGGTGGGCTTCCATCTCCCTGGAGGGCCACTTCTGTCTCCCCGGGGAGACCCTTTACCTGCCCAAGTAGGGCAGTGGGCAGTGTCCATCCCTCTCAGGTGTGTGTGGGGGTGTGTGTGTGTGTGTATCTGTGCGCACTTGCTTTCTGAGGCTCTGCCTTCCAGAAACAGGCAGTATTCTGGTTGCAAGTAGAGGCACACACATTCTCACCCAGGTGTTTGCAAGGAATAGGCGTGTCTTCCGTCCACGATGCTCACCTGGCTGCTACCTCACAGCTCTGAGTGGCCCAGAGTCCCCTGCTGACCCCAGGTGGGCTCTGAGAGCAGCCCTCCGACCGGCTGAGCGGCCTCCCACGGCGCAGCCTCTCTGGACCTGGTGCCATGTGCACAGTGGGCGAGGCTGGAACATGCCCACGGCGTCGTCATGGGAATCAGGTGTCCATCAAAGGCCGAGCCAGAGAAATGCTGGCTGCACCCAAGCGCTCACTGTTACCGCGTTAGCGTCATGGCTATGGCGTGGGTCATGAAGGCAGTCTGCTCTCTCTCACCCCGTGTCCACTCAGGACACCTGAGGGTCTGTTCAGGGCCAGGGGTGGGGGCTGGGTGCCTGGTAGGGAAATAGTGGGCAATGGCTTTTCCCAGAGGCGCCTCAGGCCCCAGCAGTGCCCGCAGCACCCTCCCAAGGACCTCACTCTCTTCCATGCGTCACCCTCGGGCTCAGCAAATGGCATTTGGTTTTGCCTCCCTCTCTGTGGATCACTGACTGTCCCGCTCCCTCCCTGAGCTGGAGGACAGCAGGACGAGGGAGGCTGGGTTCCTTCCCTGGCCCCACCCACCAAAGCCAAGGATGGAGCCCCAGTCTGTGGGCACTGCATCCACTGGCCAGGGGGACAGGCCAATTGGGAGCAGGCACCCCTTTCCCCATGACCTGCACCCCCAAAGCCCCCCTTCCTCCCGCCACTGCCTCGGCCATTGGCTGGGCTGGAGTGCCAGCTTCCTTTCCAGCAGTCCTGAGCGTGCACATCACTGGCAGCATTTATTAGTGTCCTCCGGCTCCTTGTCCCCTCTGTCTGTCTTTCCCACGTGCATTCCCTCCACAACTGCACACTGCGACCGCTGATGGTCCGGGCTCCTCAGAGCACCGAGGGGGTGGTGGTGGCCTGCAGAGAACCGGCCCACGTGGCTAACACAACGAGATCACCTAGCTCAGGCTGGGGAAGGGGAAGAATCCAGCAATCCCTTAGCCAGCTCGGTTTGTCAGGGCCTCGTCCTAGGACACCCCTGGGAGCCTCTGACTCAGGGCCAATAGCACTGGTCTCCGCAGTCAGACGACACATCGAAACCCAAGAAAATGAGAATCTGCCGTTTAATGTCAGAGGGGCCGTGCCTGATGGCCTCGGGGCACAGCCACACAGAGCGGCGCGGACACCAGCATGTGGTAAGAGAGGGCATTTAAGTATAAAAATAAGTCTTCATTAAAAAGAATGCCAAGCAGCCCCGGACACACCCACAAAGCCACGGAGAAGCATAACAGGGAGGCCACGGTTCCAGAAGCCACAGGGTTCTCCCAGGACACTGGATGGCGTTTCACTGGCACCACGGAGCTCTTTCCCACCGGGCTGCGGGGAAGACGGCTCGGACGGCGCTGGCGGTCCGCAGTCTCCGAAGTGGCAGGGCCTCCTGGCTGGGTCGCGGAGGGCGGTGGGTTACCGGGGTGAGGGCACAGGTGTGCACCCACACCCATCTGTAAGAGGCTCACATTCGCCATCACATGGAGATTCATATCGGAATTTCCCTCTTCCAGCTCCCGTCTTCTAACGAGGCTCGGCGTGGTTAAAGTGGCCCTGAAAGACAAAGCAGCGCCCGTGGGAATGGATTTTCATGGACGAAATTCACCTACTGTGGCTGCGTGTTCACCGACACACAGACCTGCTACCCCTGCAGTGACCGCTACCCCGGTGAACGAGGCCTCACTGCGGGGGCAGGTGCGTGCTTACGGAGTGGACAGGGCGGACTCGGAGTATATAAAGTGAGTATCGCGATAGAACTCATCATGCCAATCTGTTGGTTTCCCAGGGCACGTGGAAGCTGCTTACCCTGCACTACAGCCTAGTAAGTGTGTAATAATAGCACCACGCCTAAAAATGCATCTCTCTTAATTAAAAAATACTTCATTGGTAAGGATACTATGCATCACCTGATCCTTTTTGCTGGTGGATGGTCTGACCTTCAATTTGTAAAAAAAAAAAAAAAGTCAGTTTCAGCGAAGCACCATAAAGCAAAGCTCAATAAAACGGGGTATGCCTATAAATATAAAAATGTTATAGTTAAGATAGTTAAAGCACTTCCTACAGCGCCCGTATGTAGAATGTTCTTAATAAATGTTATTTCTCCTCTCGCCTCTGAGGAAAAGGAGAATAAAAATATCTATATATTCATAAGATAGAATTTGTTAAAATGATGTCCAGATACTGAGTCGGGATTCCACACAGAAAGTGGCGCCTGGGCGGACGGGACGTGGAAGCAGCCCAGGTTCCTCCCCATCCGGCCACGGCCTTCTGCCTTCAGAGCCCAGCAATGATCGACGTGAAGCCTTTCTAGTAACACTCCCTTCCTGGTACCCACATTCCAGAGAAAGCTTTCGCTATCAGACGCTCCATCGGAAGACTGCGTCAGGGAGTCTATTCAGAAGCATCTATTTTGGGACTCACATTTGGCTGCACTGGCCAGCTCATGCGTTCTCAGTGTGAATAATTCAGCCCCGCGCCTGGGCCAAGCGGCTCTCATTATGTCTGGGCATGAGGTCCACGAAGACCCATCGTCTCCCTGCTGCCTTCTTGGTGTGTCACGGCAGCCGCTGTGCCCGGCACTGGGAAGTGACGCTGGCACGCTGGCTGCAAACAGCACGCCAGCCAAGAACAGGGAGGAGGGCGGTGCTGGAGCCAGCCGCCCCCTCCACCACGCCCCTGAGGCCCTCACTGCCCTTCTCTCTAACCTGACGGGGTCAGACCGATGAACTCAGGATCCCTGACCCATCCAGGGGGAGGGCATGGAGACAATTCCATTCTTACAGAACGACCAGTGAAATCCTGTTGATGACTCCGTGATTGCACCTTCTTCTCTCAGGACGGAAGAATAAAGGACGACAAGAACTAGCTGCTGAAACAGGACACATGGAGCGAGCCATGCACATGGATCTTCCTTAATCTGTGTCAGGACGCCACCCTTCCCTCCCTGGCCTTGGTCTCGCCTGCCCCCTGGGCCTGCGGTACCGAGCACAGGCGGGCACAGGAGACAGGCCGAGTCTGGTCCCCCCCGGGCCTGGGTCCGCTCCTGCGCTGCTGCCCTCCTGCGCTGCTGCCCTCCTGCTCTGCTACCGCGCTCCTGGACGCTGCAGGCGTGCAAAGCAATCACCAATGAGACAGGCGGGCAAACAAATACAGCAAATATTTTAAAGGTCACCCACTTGGAGATAAAAGTACAAAAAAAAGTATGTCCATTTAGAATCAGAGTCATCACCATGCTTGGCTCCTCCTGCCGTCCCTACAGGGCAACGATGAACCCACACGCCCTCCGGGGCCCTCCATTCCCACCCCTGCGGTGGCCCAGTCCCCCCATCGGGCAATGGAGTCGAAGAGCGAGGGTCACACGGCGAGCAGCACAGAGGCTGCTGAAGACACTCCCTCAGCGGCTGCCCTCAGCCCCTCGCACAGGCCAGGATCCCCAGTCAGCTCGTTGGAAAGTGGGGGTGGGGTGCTGGTCAGCAATACCAACAAGCATGGTTCCGTAGTGGGTTCCAGTTTGGGGGGTGAAGCCCAGTGACGCCGGGTAAAAGAAAGCGAAGGAACCCCAGTGACAGGCCATAGTAGAGGGCCTGACGGTATTTTTCAATTTTACATCCCTCCCCCCACCGCATCCCGTGACTCACAGCCAGGACTGGCCCTGCCACACTCCGAACGCTGAGCCTGGACCGGGACCCTGGCACGAGGGGAGGCCCGAGGCCCAGAGGCCTGCGTGCAGAACTGCAGTCTCTGCCCTGGCCAGGGGCTCAGGGGAGACAGTGCTGGCCCTCGGACCGAAGGGTCTGGGTTTCGATTCCGGTCAAGAGCACATACGTGGGTTGCAGGCTAGATCCCCGGCCCTGGTCAGGGCACATGCAGGAGACATCCATGTCTCTTTCAGGTCAATGTTTCTCTGTGTGTGTGTGTCTCTCTCCCTTCCACACTCTCCAAAAAAAAAAAAAAAAGAAAGAAAAAGGAAAAATACCCTCGGGTGAGCATTAACTAAAAACAAAAACCAAACAAAAATGGTGCGTGGCAGGCCTGGTGTGTGGCAGGGCTGGTGTGTGGCACGGCCTTGTGTGTGGCACAGCCTGGTATGTGGCGGGCCTGGTGCGTGGCGGGCCTGGTGTGTGGCACAGCCTGGTGTGTGGCACGGCCTGGTGCATGGCACAGTCTGGTGCGTGGCGGGCCTGGTGCGTGGCACGGCCTGGTGCGTGGCACAGTCTGGTGCGTGGCACAGTCTGGTGCGTGGCAGGGCTGGTGCATGGCGGGCCTGGTGTGTGGCGGGCCTGGTGCGTGGCGGGCCTGGTGCGTGGCGGGCCTGGTGCGTGGCGGGGCTGGTGCGTGGCATGGCCAGGTGCGTGGCGGGCCTGGTGCCTGGCGGGCCTGGTGCGTGGCGGGGCTGGTGTGTGGCGGGCCTGGTGCGTGGCGGGCCTGGTGCGTGGCGGGCCTGGTGCGTGGGGGCCTGGTGCGTGGCGGGCCTGGTGTGTGGCACAGCCTGGTGTGTGGCACGGCCTGGTGCATGGCACAGTCTGGTGCGTGGCGGGCCTGGTGCGTGGCACGGCCTGGTGCGTGGCACAGTCTGGTGCGTGGCACAGTCTGGTGTGTGGCGGGGCTGGTGTGTGGCGGGCCTGGTGCGTGGCGGGGCTGGTGCGTGGCGGGCCTGGTGCGTGGCGGGCCTGGTGCCTGGCGGGCCTGGTGCGTGGCGGGGCTGGTGTGTGGCGGGCCTGGTGCGTGGCGGGGCTGGTGCGTGGCGGGCTGGTGCGTGGCGGGCCTGGTGCGTGGCGGGCCTGGTGCGTGGCGGGGCTGGTGCGTGGCGGGCCTGGTGCGTGGCGGGGCTGGTGCGTGGCGGGCCTGGTGCGTGGCGGGCCTGGTGTGTGGCGGGCCTGGTGCGTGGCGGGGCTGGTGCGTGGCGGGGCTGGTGCGTGGTGGGCCAGGTGCATGGCGGGCCTGGTGCGTGGCGGGCCTGGTGCGTGACACGGCCTGGCGTGTGGCACGGCCTGGCGTGTGGCACGGCCTGGCGTGTGGCACGGCCTGGTGCGTGGCGGGCCTGGTGCGTGGCGGGCCTGGTGCGTGGCGGGCCTGGTGCATGGCGGGCCTGGTGCGTGGCGGGCCTGGTGCGTGGCGGGCCTGGTGCGTGGCATGGCATGTTTAATGAAGCCGTCTGACATGCAGGGCTATGCCCGCTGGTGATCTGTGTTAAGCACTGCTCCCGGGGATCCTGCATCGCTAAAAACACTATTTGCTTTTTATTTAACACTGGACTTCCAATGTTCTAAAATGCAAAAACAGTGTCTTATTATTTTAAAAGCTTAGGAGGGTGAGTAGCCATATTATTAGAAAAAGAAGATATATGCAGCTGGAGTCTGTTCAAATATCAAGAGGTGTGACTTTTCGAATTCATATTTCAATCTTTATTTACATAAGACTTTTAGAAATAGTGGGTGTAAATATTAAGTCACCCAAGGCTGGGTGAAATTTTATTGAAAATAACTACAAATAGAGAGAAACTGGTTTTTTAAAGTCGGTTTCTGAAATTTAGATGAAAAGGAATATCAAGCATTAGCCAAAACCTGATATATTTACATATCAATATAGGTTTTCTGCTCATAGACTCATTTCCTGTGAAACCTAACAGAGGCAAGCTTGGGGAATTACAAAGGAAGGAAAAACCCTAATCAAATAGGTACTGTTGTTCAAACAGAATATTAGCCAAAATGATCCAATCAGTTGCTCGAGCCAAATTTTTTTCCTTTAAGCCACTCATGCCAGCGCACAGCTCTGAGAGCACAGAGACCCCTGGCTCGTTCCCAGGGGGCGCCCCAGGGTGGGAGGGGGTTGGAAGAGACTGAAATGAGAGGAGAAGGGAGGGCAGCAGCAATAAGCAATGGGCCCAGAAAGGGTCACATTTCTCAAGGTAAATATTACTTCTCTGCATTGCACAGGGAGCGTGGCAGTCACGTGACTCGGCCTCAGCAGAGTAAGTTCCAGAGTCAAGGGCGGTCTAACACTGCCAGGGCGGAAGCACATTACCTGGGAGAGCAGAGCTTCCTAAAGGCAGCTCCGAGGAGGAAGAGCCCACCTTACAGGGCGAGTCTGCACGGGGCTTTGTTTTCATACCTGACTAATGACTTCACAGGAGCAGAGGTGACAACTAACACGCTTGCAGTTCTGGGAATAAAACAAAATCGTTGCCTATCACTGTAAAACATCATAACTTGCAGCTGAAACCGGTCTGGCTCAGTAGATAAGAATGTCGGAATGCGGACTGAAGGATCCCAGGTTCGATTCCGGTCAAGGGCGTGTACCTTGGTTGTGGGCACATCCCCAGTGGGGGGTGTGCAGGAAAGAGCTGATCAATGTTGCTCTCTCATCGATGTTTCTATCTCTCTCCCTTCCTCTCTGTAAAAAATCAATAAAATATATTTTAAAATGTTTAAAAAAAAAAACATAATAACTTGCAAAGTGTCAACTGAAGATCTAATTTGTTGACTCAATCTTTTGCTTATCAAAGTCAGAACAATGCGCTTCTGTAAAAATCTTTAAGGAACAAAAGCAGAAATACACAGACATGCGCGCGCACACACACACTTATACACACTCCCGGTTTCTACGTAAAATTAAACATAATTCTATTTTATTACAATATTAAGATTCCAATTTTTAAATTGAAAAACCCCCAAGAATTACAGAGGTTATCAAAGATATATTAACTTGTTCTTAGAATAAGCTCAAAATTAATAACCAAGGCATGATTATGCTAATGTATACTTTATGATATTCCACCTGACACAGGAGACTGAGAACAGGGCCCTGGCAGTGTTAGACCGCCCTTGACTTTGAATTAATGGTGTGAATACTGCATTTCTCCTGAAATCTTCGGTTTATGGGATGTTCAGGGGAACCTGAGAGAAAAGCTTACCAGAGAGGAGGGAAAACAGCCCCGATTCCTCTGTGGATGATCACACGAGGGCAGGCCTTCCTCCCCAGATGTCCTCAAGAGATCCGCGCTCATCCCACCCAGCGGCCTGTTCCCTGCCCTGCACCCTGCTCTTAAAGAGAATCTTAAACATACGTGCAATTCCTGTTTCCAACTTGAAGCTGGAGACAGATTAGCCTGCACCCCAGCAGAATGCCAAGAAAAGCTTAAATCAAACGGCACCTTTTCATTCACATCCCTCACTCCTGAGAAGCGTAATTGCCTTTTTTATTAACTTTGTTTTATGGGGCTAATATTTAAGAACAAGTCTACCCTTTGTGTGACACGGGAAGGTGAATGTACTTACAGACTCTCCCGCGACGCATCGCAGGCAGGGCGGCGCGGGGCTCCTTCCACCGGGCGGAGGGACCTGGTGGACAGATGACAGCCGCGTTCGGATCAGAACCACGGTCACTCACCCTCTTTATTAGAATATCTAAACGGCAGGAACGGGAACCTACCCGCACACTCGGTGGCCCCTGGCCGCCGGCCGGCCTGGGCGCAGGGGCTCGGCCTCCGGGCGGCGCCTCCAGCTCCCGGCTGCCCCAGGACCCCGGGGCGCCGGCCCTCACCGGGGGCCAGCCCCGCTCCGGCGCAGCCGCCTCGCAGCTCCGGCTCCGGCACACCCGCTTCTGAAAGGAAGCAAGGGTCACTGGGGATGGCCTCGCAAAGCACCCGGCGCTAATCCGATCCGCTGCCTTCCCGGGAACTCCAGCTGCAGGTGCCACCCTGTGGAGCTGGCAAGTTTATGGGACGTTTGAGGAGATGACTCTAAACTCGATCTTCAGGAATAACCGCCATCAATTACACTTAACCTCATTATTTCCTAAATTGTCTGGTGTTTACTTAGCTCTGCAGATTTAAAACAGTCATTTTCACAATTTGAGCGGAAAATCTCGCCATAAACTATTGTGACTGGTTTATTGATATTGAAAATGCACAAACCCCGTAAATTTTGTTCAAGAAATTAGTTCTATGCTGCCACGCATTCTGCTGGTGGTGAGTGGCACACTTTCTCAACGCAACAGGAAGAAGCCACACCTGAAGAATTCTTTCTTTCTCTGACGGACACCAAAGACCAAGTTCATTTCATTGCAAAAGCTGCACACCCAGTCTTCAATGATCACCTTTGGGAAAGTGAGCATTTGGTTTCTGCTTCCGCTTGAACTAACGGTAAACTACCAAAGCCCTCCCCTCAAGCTAACGGGAACATCACTCTCCCAGTGCCCAGGCTGTGGGCGGGGAGGGCACCACGGGCTCTGACACAGCTAGAGGTGTAACTGTCTCTGGATCCCCGGGCAGCCTCAGGCCCGGCTGCTGGACAGCTCCTGCCCGTGACACCCATGGCCACACCTTCTCCAGTCACTTGCAAACCCTCATCATGATTTATGCCAAATTATTTATTATCTGTACTGTTACTGACTTCATATTTTCTAAAGTGACACCTCTTTATTTAATAGATTTAATAGAGAAGCTTTATCTCAGAGGGTTAGGCTGCTGGTTCTACTGTTCCCTAACGTGCCTTAGGACAGATACGTAGAGATTAAAATGAAAAATGTTGGACTCTGTGGCCCGTAAGCCACTTGGTTGTAATTCCTCGGGGTAAGCGCTTGACCTCTAGGGGGCAGAAGACAGTTACCACCTCCTGCAGCTCCTCCCAAATGACAGGAAATTGAAGCCTGAGAAACTCAGAATTCTACCCAAACCGCACCCTGAGCAAAACTTAAAGACAGAGGATGCCCAAATCTGAAAGTAAGGCTGGTAAAAAGAGACACACTGCCCAATCCGAGTGTGGGTCCCCGGCTCCCAGCCCACACCCACTGATGCGGGCTCTGCGATGCGCCACTCACATAGGGTGAGAGCCATCTCCACGGCCCCGAGAGACCACTACGAACACAAAGGAGCTATGACAGGAGGTGTGTGGTCCAGAGCATGGACGCGGGGAGGGACTTGGAAGTCCACACAATTCTAAGGAACAAGCCATTTAAAGAGGCTTGATTCAAACTCACAGCTTCCGGGAGCAATAGGGGAAAGAGGAGTGGTGGTGAAGATAGAAAGAAGAAAAACAGGGAAATTTTCGGGTCCCACAAGTAAAGAGGACCATACTATCAGGAGGCTCAGGCCCCCCATCTCTCTCTCTCACACACACACACACAGCGGCTGCACTGACTGGACCAGGTGCCCTCAGACCAGGGTCTTGTAGAAAGACCAACGCCATAGAAATTCCCTCGTGAAAAACCACCGTGAACCAACGAAAACTGTAGTTCAATAGTCTGCAAACATAACTAGACGTACTCAAACAATGGAGGAGACGAAAAATCACCCTGAATGAGAGATGTCAATTAAAAACAGAAAGGGACCAAAACGGAGGAAGAAGGAGAGAGGTGAATGAACCCAGGAAAAGTAATGGAAGGGGAATCCAAATTATGTCAGAAATGAAGAATACATTGTAAAGTACCCAAGGAGAATTCAAACGAAAACTAGTGAGGGGCCTTGGGGAAAGAAGGAACACAAGAGAATGAAAATGACATAAAAAAGGGTAAAGGGGGTCAAATACATGGTGAGGAAGAGAGCTAGACATGGGTGGCGAGCACAGAACACACGTTGCGTGATAAAGTTGGACACCTGAAATTTATATAATGTCATTAGCCACTGTTATCCCAATAAACTTAATGTAAAAAAGAGGCATGACATGTTAAAACTGGCTTATTGTCAGTTTTCAATAACCTGTGTTAGCACAACCCATGGACACAGACAATAGGGAGGTGAAGGCCTGGGGTGGGGGTTGGGGATAGGCTGGAAGAGATGAGGAGAAATGAGGGGAAAAGAGGGACAAATGTAATACTTTCAACAAAAAGTATTTAATTAAAAAAATAATAATCCGTGTTAAAGGGAAACGAGGGAACACCACGTGGCCCATGCCATTTCATACATGGGCGTGGACTTCCCATCAGCAACATCCCTCCGCAAGAAGCACTCCTGCTATCTCCCTGCCTTCGGAGTGACATCAGCCTCGCTGAGAAGGAAGCGCAGGGCTGGGTGGGGGATGGGAGGCAGAAGCTACTGCCTCCGTGACACGCCCCACCCTCCAGGGTGACATCTGGAAGCATGTCTGGGCGGGGTCACAGAACAACTGGCACGTGAAGGTCAGCGGACTGGTGAGTATCCATGGCGACAAGCCGAGGTCCTCCTGGGGGCTCAGGTGGCCGCGGAGGCCGGCTCCCGCCTCGGTGGCAGGTGGCAGGAGGACCCACGCTGATACCAAGGTGCTGGGCTGAGGCTGGGCTCCCCGGGGAAGGCGGGGATCACCGGCTTGATGGCCCTCCGTCAGCTGAGTGGGTTAAATTATTCATGCTTCCTGCTATTTGCTGTGGATTACTGGGCGCTGACTGCATGGGATTGACCCGTACACTCACTCGGCAAATAGTTGGGTCACGAGGATTGCCTGGGCCCAGGGAGAAGCAAGGCTGCAGGGGCATCGGGCGCCGGATGCCTGCGTGACTCGGCTCTCCCCCTCCCCGCTTCCAGCGAGGCCCTGTCAGCCTTCATAAGGCCGATGGAGACTTACTGCCGACTATAAAGACACGCGCACTGAATAAACAAAATTAAAACCCACGTCCACACAAAGACCCCATTACTTAACGATAATTGAAGGAGATCAATCGAACAGCAGCCTCGCCAGAGAACAGCTGAAGCAGGAATGCGATTAAGAGAAGACACTTGATACGACGCATACATTAAAACGTAAGATATGTATCTGGTTGCCTCAGTGATGGAGCAGAGCGGACAGGTCTGGGAGAGACGGGCTGCCCGCACCGAGAGGTGCGGCCGCTCCTGTGCTGCGGAGGACCTGCTTCTTCATGGGAAGTGATGGGGCCCGGGAGCCGGGTGAGGGACGTGAGGAGCGGGGAGAGGGGTGAAAGGTTTCACAATCGGGCACAAATGAAATTCAAAGCCGCTGCTTCTGCGCGGATGCCAGCGAGCGGGCGCAGCGACCAGACTGGAGAGGCTTCCCCGCGGACCGGGAGCCGGTGACAGCACAGGGACAGGCGGTACCAGCCGTGCTGTGGCTGCACCCGCAGGCCGCCCTCCACCGGAGAAGAAGGTGGAGAATAAGAAGATACCAACTTCCTCCAACACCGACAGCAGAGCACCGTGTGCTCTCTCTCTTCCATCAGCACAGCAAGAAAATGCCACGTTCCTAAAAATCAAACACCTTGAACTAAACGTATATAACACATAAGCTGATATATGAGTTAAGCATATATACTGTGACTTAGAATACCAAGGTAAATCATTAGGACTCAGAAGGTAATTAGTGGTAAGTCTCCACACACACACACACACACACACACCCCTAACCTTTCAGATTGGAGGCATTTGAGGGTTTTTACTGACTAATGGCCTTTACTCATTTGTATTCTAAATGTGGAATGCTGGCTAATTGAGTCCTAGTTACTAGGAACAGTTTGCTGAGTGAGGGTTTTAGTTGAGTTTGGTTTTAATCCTACCACAGTAAGGGAAGTTTCCTTCTGCTGATATGGAGTGGCTGATCCGGACGTCCATCAGGCCTGAGTACGGAACCGTTAATGCTGATGAGAGAGATTAATAAGGCCCTACAGGCCGCCATTCAGAAAGAGAGCACGGTTTCCATCAAGCAAAGATTCCTCCTCGATGACACTTTCATTTGGAAAATGACCTTGCACTTGGGAGGCGTTCTCTGCAACACAGTGAAATCTGGCACAATGTCAGCTACAGGGAAGACCGGGAATGAGGAGTCCCCCATCAACGCCCATGCTAGCAGGGCATAGAGGACGTCAACCGGATCTGAGCATCTTGATGCTGTGCTTTACCCAGCTCTGACCATGTCCTAAGACCCCCTCAACTTTCTGTGCAGATTCACACTCAGCTTCCTGTGCGTGTCCACACTCTTGACCAATCTAGCCTGGCAAAGAGAAGGAAACTTATGAGGAGACAAGGCAAGCCAGCGGTCAGAAGTAAGAATGCAACTTCATTCTATGAGAGCGTGTTATCTAGAAGAAGATAAGCAAAGAAGAGCAAAGAAAAATCACTTTTATTTCGAATTAAAGTAAAAAGACATAAATGAACATATTATACTTATTGGGGAGTAATCTTAGGCTTGCAATATTTATCAAGTACAATATAAATCTGTTATACCAGTGGCCTGGTGCATGAAATTTGTGCGGGGGGGGGGGGGGGGGGTTGGGGGAATGGGAGGGGGAGAAAAGAGGAAGGGGAGGGAGTGTCCCTCAGCCCGGCCTGCATCCTCTCCAATCTGGGACCCTCAGGGGATGTCTGACTGCAGGTTTAGAGGGATCAGGCCTAAACTGGCATTTGGACATCCCTCTCAAAATCCAGGACCACTGGCTCCTAACTGCTCACCTGCCTGCCTGCCTAATCACCCCTAACCACTCTGCTGGTGGCCTGCTAGCCCCCAAGTGCTCTCCTCTGCTGACCTTCTCCCCCAACTAACCCCCTTGCCAGCCTTGTTTGAGCCAATGTGGTATGAAGTCGCCCTGTTTCAGAAGCTACACCTGTGCCCTAGGAACATGGTCCCCGGAAGTGGGGTGTGGCTGTGACGTAAGTGATGCTGGCCTAGTGACCAGGCAGTGAGTGGGGTGGCAGGGAAACAAAGAGATGCTGCAGGGGAGAAAGTTAAGCCACTTATCCTACTGTGCGAGATCTGTCTCCTGGAGCCTGTAGGGCCAGGAGAAGCGGACAGAAGGAAGTCCGCCGCAGGGTGTGCAGGCAGCACCCCGTGCCCTGGGGCAGAACCCCAGTATGGCCCAGGTGGAGAGGAGCCAGCCATCGGCAGACAGAGGCGGAAGATGACAGGGAGCGATGCCCGCTTCAACCCCACGGACTTCTTTGGGTTCCTGGAAAGGGGAGGAGGTGCCTTCCCACGTCCCACACTGTTTTCCCTCCCAGTCTCGCACCCACCCGACCACCCACCCACGCCATCGCCTCCCACCCGGTTCTCCCCGGTCAGAACACTCAACCCAGGCGAGACTGATCAGTCTGCCCCACCAGCACTCCTACCGCACCAGCCAGCGCCTGCACGGGGAGGCGGGGCGCAGGAACAACGCCACCCCCTGGCCCAGACTCCGAGGCCTCGAGCCCTGCAGGGAGGCCCCTGCACCTCCGGTCACTGGTCCTGGACAGCGTGCAGGTCTGGTCTGGCGGCAAACCAGTCCCGACTTCTGCGCAGGCGCGGCAGGAGGAAGGGCCCCGCCCACCTCTGGCCCCGCCCACCACCTCTGGCCCCGCCCCAGCAGGTGCGCGCGGGCAGCTGCCAGCCCGGCCTCCACACGGAAGGGGCCGCCGGGAGGCAGACGCGAAGCCCACTGCGGGCCAGCCCGAGGACCCCGCCTTCCGGTTCCTCACGCCCAGACCCCCGGGGGCTCACCGCGTCCCCCGGAACCTGCAGCTCCTCCGGCCTCCGCCGACGCCACCGGCCCAGCGCCAGGGCGTCCATGCGACCCACAGGCCCGAGTCCGCGGGACTATCGATCATCTCCCCCAGGGGCCGGGCGCCCCGCCCACGCCGCCGCGTCCGCGCCCCCTGCCTCCACGTGTCCCGCGGGAGCCAATGAGGAATGGGGGCGGGGTTCCGCCGGGCCACTGGAGTCCCGCCGGGCGGGCGCTTCAGGCAGGAGTAGCGGAGACCAGAGTCTTCTGGACGGAAGGGACGCCTGCCCCGGGTCTTCATTTTGCAGCGAGGGCCGGCCTCTCGCTTCTAACATCACTAAAGCAGTCTGGAAGCTCTTAACTTTTTAAGGAACCCACCACGCTTGGACTGCAGGCCTCGGATCGGAGGGAGGAGCGCCCGCCTTCTCGCCCTCGTAATTGGCCATCTTCCTGGCTGGTTGCCTGATAGAAGGCGCCGTGAGCCAATCAGCAAGGGCGAGACCGCGGGGGTCGCTGGGAATTGTAGTTCCAGTGAGGCAGCCACACTTCCTGGCCAGAGCTGGCCAGGAGGAGTGTGTGATGACTCCATGCTCTCCAGCCCGGTTTGGCCAGGTGCATGGTGGCTTCCGGTTGGAAGGCCTTAGGGGCAGTACTTCTCTGCTGGCTGAGGGCAGCGCTGCGGGCCCTTGGATTGTATACAAAGGGGGAACCGTGGCCTCTCAGTCCCACCCTCGGGTGTGGGACTCCAGCTGTGTGCATGGTGAGCAGGGTGCCCAGGTCACTGACGTTGTAAACCACATGTGTCAAACACAAAGCCCGCGGGCCAAATCCGTCCCGCCAGGCCTTGCAATGTGGCCCATACCACGCTGTCATCACTGCACTCCGCTGCGTTTCCATCACAATGACAGTTTATGACTGTTCAGTAAACCATTCGGCCCGCGATTTAGGCTGGATTTTAGATTTTGGCCCCTTCTCTGATTGAGTTCGACACCCCTATTGTAAACAGTGCTTAGCTACACTGCAGCCTTCTAAGTACACCTACTGTATGCCATGTTAGAGGAAAGATATTTGTGACACTTGTTAAAAACGGCAAGGCAGACTTTCCCCGTGGGACCATCATGACAAGTATTGGGGTTCGAAGAAGGAAGAGAGGGTAGTACCGCTCAACTCTGACTTCAAAAACAAGTGGGAATTTGTACCCTATTTACATAGCATGTTTATTGAATTCTTAATTGAGGTATGGTAGCAACCATACTTAGGTAAAAACTGCTGTTTGAATTTAACCCTGCTATTCTGGCTTCGGCACTCACTCACTCGCTTAAACCATAGGGTAGTTGCCTCAGCTTCCAGACTGAGACCTGGAGGCTAAGGCAGTTTTCCTGTGCCTCTGGACCAGGACCACAGTAGACTGATTCCCACTGACTCAGTAGCTCCAGGAGTAGAAACTGCAGATAACCTTTAGAGATTACTAACTCTGCTTAATTCTGCTCCTGTAAAAATTGCTTTCGCAAGATAGGGCCACATTCCAGCGTCCAGCTGGATTTGGCTGGGAACCACCCTGCGGGTTGTTCCCAGCATTTATTGTAGAATTTAGAATTTAGAACAAAGGAAAATGTTTGTGGTTTAGACCTTTAAAAGGACTGCCTACACCTGGAACGGCGCAGTCATGAGTGTGGACTCCACCTGCGTGTGGTGCTCTCGCGGCCGTCCTGGCCAGTTCAATAAATCCTTGCCTGCTTTTGTTAATCAATTAGCAGCCTCCGGTGGTCTTATTTTTTACTCCAGGATTCGACTCCACAACATTAATATCTTAAAATTTTTTTAAACGTTAAACATAATAAAAGGATAAAGTGCTTGTTATTTAAACGTTAAATACATTAATCGGTGGAAGAAAAAGGGAGACTTTGGTGGAGTCTTGCATAAAACACAGTCAACAAAAAGGGGACAAAGGTAATACTTTCAACAATAAAGATACTTTTAAGAAAAATCACAGTCAAAAGAGAAAATACCTAAATTGGACTCTTGAAGAGTGTGAAACTTTTATACATCAAAGGTGGTTATAGAAGTGGCTAGTAAATACATGAGAATATGCTCAAATCACTAATCATTAGGGAAATGCAAATCAAAACCACAGTGAGATACCACTTCATACCCATTAAGGTTGTAATAAAAAAAAAAAAAGGCAATCATTGTTGGCTAAGGTGGGAAGAAATTGGACTCCTGGTGCATTGTATGACAGCACCTCAAAAAATTAAAAAAGTTATCATATGATTCCACAATTCCACTTTTGAGTATAATTGAAAGCAGTGATTAGAATACACATGTTCAAAACAGTACCATTCATGATAGCCAAAAGGTAGAAGTGGCCTGATAAACGACATGTGGTAGGTACCTACCAGGGAATATTACTCAGCCTGCAAAGGAAGGAAATGCAGCTTTCATTCCAAAGCATCTCTGCATTATGCTGAATGAAACGCAATGTGATGCCACTGTTTGAAGTACTGGAATAGACGATAGAACGGGCTCTCTCCGGGAATAGCTGAAGGGAGCGGGCAGAGACCTACTGTTTAATGGGGACAGAGTCTCAGTTTAGAAAATGAAAAGAGTTGTGGACATGGCGGGGATGATGGTTGGCAAAAAGGTGAATGTGCTTAATGCTACTGAGCTGTACATCAAAGAATGATTATATACATACACTCTATGTCATGTATGCTTTACGACAGTAAGACATTCCTGTTACAAGGTGCTTATCCGTGCACCACTTCCTGCCACCGCCTTGCACACCACCTTCAGGGGGAGTGGCTCAGGAGGAAGGTGACCTGAGCTCCAGTTTCCCCATGGGGACTTCAGCTCCAGGGCAAGGTGCTCTCACCTGGCAGTCCCCACCCCGGGGTGACAAATTGGGGTGCTGACAAGGGGTCTACCTCAAGGAGGCGCTCTGGGTTCCCAGTGAGCCTGCCATTCAGGACACAGTCAGCTCCTGCTCATTGTCCCTCCTGGGACCATCTCCTCTCTCTCCCAGCTGGGCTCTGGACCAGTGGGAGTTCAGAAAGGGTCAGGAGAAGTTTCACTGGCACTTAACCAAGGATGTGTGCCAATGAAACTTCTCCTGACACTCGCCCTCTCGGTCTTAGTCCCCTCCTCTGTAAATAGGAACACAACAGCCTAATCCTGTCACCTGCCTTCTGGGGAAGACAAAACTTCAAGGAGTAGCTGTGGATTACCTTTAACAAGTGGCTTAGCTCCTGGCCAATAGTGTGTGTGTGTGTGTGTGTGTGTGTGTGTGTGGTGTGGTGGGGATGGTATTGAGGTTTTCTAAAACAGTTTTTAAAAACATATATTTTTATTAGTTTCAGAGAGGAAGGGAGAGGGAGAGACAGAAACATCAATAACGAGAGAGAATCATTGATTGGCTGTCTCCTGCACACTCCCCACTAGGGATTGAGCCCACAACCCGGGCATGTGCCCTGACTGGGAATTGAACCATGACCTCCTGGCTTATAGGTTGACACTCAACCACCATGCCATATTGGCTGGGTAAGTGAGTAACAGTTTTCATTCAATTGTTGCAAAGCCATTCTATTCTTCCACTGACATAACCTTCCCCCTTTCAACCTTCATGGCCTCTTTCAAAAATTGCTGTCCTTTTATCTTCTTTGGGTCTAAAAGAGGTGGTACTCAGGGCAAGGTGAGTGAAGGGTGAGGTCAGCATTTAGCTGTGTGGCGTCTGCTCCAAAGGGCCCAGGAAGGCCTTCAAAGCGGTGCCCTGCCCCCCAACTGCTGCCCCTAAAGATGGCCAATATGGCACCTGTTCACCGCTTGTCTTTATTCAAATCAAGGTGTTACTGCAGAGTGGCTGATCAGGGTTGTCTCGGGCCCATACTTGGCCCTCACCTTCTGCCTCAGCGATCAGCTCTGCAGCAGACAGGTAACCTGTCCAGTCCACTCTTGGCGGACAGTCCACTCTAGGCAGACAGGTGTCGGTCCTGGAGGACTGGATCTGCAGGAAACGTGTCTCTAGGAGGTCAGCACACATCTGTTCGCTGAGGGTCATGATTTTGTTCCAGTGTCATCGTAGCTCAGGTTTCTTGATTGTTTGTTTTTTGTTGGAATGTGTGACAAGACTCAGTATAAGATTTTCCTAGATACAATCCTTATAATCTAGACATACTTCCTTAAGGCAAAAAACAATAACCCGCTGCTTTCCAACTTCCTAAATAATCCCTCTATGTGGAGGCCTTTGTGATCTGGCCGGTGCCCTGAATTATTTCCTGACGGCATGTGTGCTCTTCAGGGATGACCAACACCAGAGAAGTATTTCCTACTGGGAGAGGGACTGGTGTGGGGGAGAGATTTACAGGAGACTGGGCGGTGGACAGGCCCGCTCCTTCCCGCCGTGTGAGCATTCGCTGGGTGCGTAGCGGGGATTTTTAACCTGCCACGTTGCATTTTCCTCACAGGTGCTGTGGGCCAATGAAACTATCACTACACCACAGACATGCCTCCTTAACGCCACAGCTCCGGGTTTGACCGGGAAGTGCTCATTGTGCCTCATTTGAACGCACCCCTGCTTCTGATCTGTTGGTGACACCCACCCCTGCGTGTCACACACAGGGTGCTCTCTGCGCTGTGCTGTGCTCCAACAAGAGATTAAATTTTAGCATGTTTTATATTTCATGCTAATTTTTTTTTTTTTTTTTTTTTTTTACTTTCGAGTGTATGAAGTCACGTTGGTGATGTTTGATAACCCACTTCTGCGCGGATTTTCCTATAAATTAGAGGGCGTTGTGCCTCTCAGCGCTCACACCGTCGCACGTGGAAATATGACGGATGTCGCAGCTGCGCGTGGCTTGGCAATAATAAGGATTATAAATGACTCGCCGGGTAGAGGAAGCCGGGGGAGGCTCGCTGGGAAGAAAGAAACGGCGTGCTCTCTTTATGGGCAGCGCGGAGAAGGCACCGGAAAGATATATCACTTCCTCCTGGTTTGTGCTTCTAAGGGGGTTTTGTTAACCCCTTTTTACCAATCGAGATAAATTGATTGTCAGCGGGTGCAGTACTCTCTGGATCTTGGAAATGATAAAACAGAAGCAAAGATCGCAAACGCATGCATTCCATCGCCTGGTAAGTGAGAGACAAACTCCTTCTGCTAAA